TGGGGGGTGTTTTGGGTTGGCTAGTTGTTTTTTACTCACGCCTAACATGTTGATCTGTTTGCTTTTAAATTAACGCTAGGCTCAGTGCCAAACACAAAATATACAAGTATATCTCAACTTACAGACCTCTGGTATGCTTGAAATGTAAGCTGGTGTCATAGAATTTGTGTTTGTCTTGGGGAAGCACTTGTCTTGATGGCCTCCTTTTTGGTGAGTTCATTGTGCCCTTGTCAAACACAGCTCCACACGTAAATCCCTGAAGTTCACTCATAGGCCAGAAGCTTAGTTCTTCGTATCGTGTCCCAGATACATAGTTCACAACACGAGTATTCAGATCAGAGCTGATGTTCATTCAGCTGGCACAAGCATGCTGCGTGCCAGGAAAATACACCCTTCAGAGATCTTTGGTACTCAGCAAGGCAAAAGAAAGAGGGACGGCAAGCAAATGCTCTTTCATTTCTAATAGGAGGCAAAGGTCTGAGATCTTGCCAGGAACATTCAGGAAAAGAATGATTTACATAAGTGGTAATGTTTTCTCAGTAAGTACTTGGTGCCAACTGCGAGGGCTCACATGATGCTACAGGAGTTCCAGTGTGGTCATTTACTCATGACACATTAATGACTGCTGTTTTAATGAGACTACGTTCAGTGATGTAGTACATAGAATTTCATACGGCTGAGCAAACTGCTCAGATGAATTTTGCTTACGTGCATGTGGGATAAGTTTCATGAGCTTTCATAGATGCAAGAGAGTGAAATGTCCTCTTTGCCTGTGTTAGTAGGGTCAGTTGAGAGATGCTTGTGTCAAATGGATGATCTGAGAGACTGAGATACAGGCCTTGCTTCCCTGGCAGAAGTATGAAGATACTGCCTGAATTTGCGCCTTAGTCCAGCTGCAGGGAGGACTGGGTTGTTTAAAGTACAGAGATAGCATTGCGACAAATAACATTTTCCCTGCTTTGAGGGAAATTTATATTGAATATTTTCCCTCTTTGCAAGCTTCAGTCAGCAAAACTCAAAAGTTGCTTCAGTTCACTGAGAGGTAAGCTGGGCACTTGTTTTGGTTTAGTTTTATTACTATATCTACCTCCAGCCCAGTTATTTTCCAGACTGTTTAGATGAGCTTAGCTCTTTTAAATCATCAGTATTTTAAGAATAAGCCAGACAATGACACAACTGAATATTAAGGCCAGGATTGTCTAAGTTTTTAGTGGGTGCAGATCAGATTGACTGGTGAGATTGCATTCAACCCCTCCCCAGTACATGGCTAAAAGGGACCAAAACCTAATACGGGTCTGTTACATGACCTGGCAAGTATGGACATCACCATTGTGTGACCAGACATATTTGTAAATCAGTAATGCCAATGTGTTAATAACGTAGTGCAGTGAAGGAATGTGGTGCCATCAGCCGAGCTAGCTTCAGAAGCAGTGCTTCCAGAAAAATGCATGCCTTCCATCCTCCTGCTTTTTCACATCCAAGGTGTGACTAAGAAAAAAGAGGTTGAATGATCAGATTGGGATCTGAATGAATTTTTCCCGTTGTCTGTATTTGTGTTAATGACTATAGAATGAACAACCTCTGAATTTTAGTAATGGTGTTATGAACCTGTTTCAAGATTATATTATTGCTGTCATCTTCTAGGAGGGTGTGCGTTTTTCTTGTCTTACCTACTATTTTTTTGGCTTTATCGATTGAAGTAGTATAAACTGGCAACAGTATTAATGAAAGCCTTTCCTGCATGGCTTCTTCACAGAGCTGTGGTGAATTATCAGTCCTTTAGTCATTCTGGGTAGATCTGATGCAGACCATAGAAAAACTACAAAATAGAGATAGTTGCCATGGCTGGCTGGTTTCCTTCAGGGTGAATGAGATGAGAGGCGCCCGTGAGAGTTCAGCACCTCCGGGGTGCTCAGGAGCAAGCACCTCTTGTGAAGCATTCGCACGGCGGAGGGTAGGGAATGGCAAAGCTCGGTGTACAGGTCTGGTCACTGACGTGCACAGAACAGGCAAATTAAGTTCCCCATTCGTTACCCAGGCAGCACCCCCAAAATGTCACAGCTTGTGTTGTTATGCTAAGGAGAAAGAAAAGTTCACATTTGAAGATAAAATGGTCCTTTTATTTAAACAATGGCACTGCTTATGTAACAGCTCTCTTAATGGTAAAGTGCAGCTGGAGCCTGGAACATGTTGTTTACAGAACTATCACGTAATGGGTAACAAGGTAAAATGTAGTAAATGGCGCTGAAGGCAATAGGCATGGAGAGAGAGCAGAGGTTGGGACAATCAGTGCGTGTTTGCAAAGATGCGAGTGTGTTGCCTTCCTGAAAGCAGGAGGGGTGAACCGTGCTTTTGTAAAGCAAGGGGAATGGGCTTTGTAAAGGTCGTCAGAAGACTGGCCTAATGAGCCGTCGCAGGAAAGGCAAATGGTACTTCTCAAAGCCAGGACAGGAGAGGGAGAGGGCCCAAGAGAGGCGAGCTGGCACAGCGCAGACGGTGACCATGGGGAGGATTTCAAGAACTGGCAAGGGTAGAGGGGACTGTGACTGTGAAGACTTGGTGTGACAAGGAGAAACAGGAGGTAGAGAAGACAGAAATGATGAAGCTCTGGAACTTTTTCACACTAAGATTACTGTAATTGTATTTTCATGCATAGGAGAAAGGCTGCTGAGTAACCTTGCTCTTCTCTTTCTTGAAATGGTAACCACTGACTAATACACACGCATGCAAAGACACACACACTGACACCCACACAAACATGCAATTGCACAAAATTAGGAAAATTGCCCAGATTTCTTCTGAGATACTCAAGGATTGACAAAGCGAGCTCTGATTCAAACAGTGCTAACTGAAACCGGGTGCATGGCAGTCAACCAATGGCATCTGCTCTCCAGTGTGTTCATTTTCACTTCTTTCCTTGAGACAATTCGTAAGTTTTGTATGTGTTATTAGCAAAATATAGAGCTACAGATTTTTTTACTGTCATTTTTTTATAATATGTTGAACCATTTTGTTCAATTTGGAGTGAAAAAAATAGACTTATGGACTTTTTCTGTTGTTTACGGCAAGCTCATGGTTCATACTTAGACATTATATGAATGATGAAACAAAGTTGTAAATATTCATTACTTAGTGGAATCATATTTTTTTAAAAGCACATCTTTGTACACAAAGCATTTGTAAATCCCCATTAGTGTATTTATGTTCCCACATCAAAATTCCTCATTTGCAGCCAACCAAATATCTTAGGCTTAGATCTTCCTCCTACTTGTAATGGAATGACAATGCTGTCACAGACTTCACAGCCATTTTTGTAAAATATGATGTTAAGGAAGACTGAGTTCATTGTACTATACATCTGTAAATGCCTCCCTTTCAATAGTCTCAGGGGAAAGAAGATGCCAGAAAGAATTCCCAACCAGCATACGTATTAATTGTCACCACCTTTCATGGGATAGTAAAGCGCATTCATACAAAGGCAAGTATGAAGGATCAAGGAGGCTGCACAGGGAAAGTGAGGACATTTGAGTGAGACTTAAGGAAGTCACGTGGTAAATTGTAATAATCTAACTGCAATCTAGAAAATCACACTTCCCTTGTTTGTGTCTGTAATGAGGTAATGACGCAGCTCCTCTGGCTTCAGACAGCCGCTACAGATTTACAGCAGGCTACAGAAGATCAGACTGCAGCACAAGTTCTTTGTTATCGGTATACCCCTACAATGATGTCCGAGTTCAGAATAGCTATTGGTATAATTCGAAGCAGTGAACGTATTGTTCCTCTGTACCTCAAACTCCTTTCAGTTTCAGAAGCATAGGGGACTGGTTATCACAGAGCACAGTTAATTGATTGTTGATCCTATATGTTTATGTTTTTGTGTGTGTGAAGACATTCTGAGCTGCTCAGATCTGGCTGTGGATAAGAAATCCACAGCATGACTAAATGATTGGACTGAAACTTTTGCAAATAAATTACCTGGACAGAAACACAGCTCACATGGATGCTTCTGTACAAAGTAACTCCACTGGAAACCACTGTGTGTGCTTGAAGCGGATGACCTCTGTCTTTGATTGGCATCTGCCCAGATTTGAAACAATTAGAACTATGCAAAAATTTTAATTTCCTGAATCAAAACAGGTAATTCACCAAATTCCCAGCTATGTACTGTAATAAAGGGATGCAAATCTATGTCTGATGATGCTGACATAGCATGACTTGAAGGAGATTACCGTTCCCAGTTCCACCATCTTTCACTTAGGGACTTGACTTGAGTTCTGTCTGCCACCGAGGCACGGCTGCTCACAAGAAATGAAATGCTGTTTGCTTGTATAATTTGCCACTGTGCAGTCTTTGGTCATTCTGTGCTGCTTCTCTCCTCTGTTGAGGCTGCTAAATGAGTTGGTATTACCTTAATGAAAGCATTGAAAGTGTGGTTAATGCTGCTAGACTCCATATTTAAAAACATTTTTTGAAATCAAAGTGAGTATCAGTAAAATACTCTCCTGTGGTTCGTGTCTCCAATCACCAGTACAATGACTTAATTGGCATTCTTGTGCAGTGCTTGGATCTTTGCCAGTTAATGACCCAGTGCTGCAGTCTGCACAGGCAAATTACCCCTTCTGTCCCGCTCTTCAAGCTGATGGACTTTTGCCCAAGTAATGGCTGCAGGCTCCTATTCTCAGCTGGCACGGACCCCAGCACGACCATAAACATCCCTGAGAGGATCATAATATGATATATTGGACAGATTCTGATACGCCTCACAGTAATATACCGCCAAGCAATTCCGCTGAAGTCAGTGACTTTGGCAGTGGCATAGCTGAAAGAAGAAACTGGTCCCTACACTGTTGCTTTCCCAAGTAATGAAGCACTTGCAGCCTATTAGCTAGTCTCTGTCCCTTTAGATGATGCAAGTTTTTGTGAACCTTTTTTCAAACATTCAAAATAGTTTTTATTTTTCTTCTGTTTTTAAATGGTTGCATTGTCTCTTCCCCCTACAGGATTTTCCATTCTTCAGGCGATTATGGAAGCAGCAGTACAGAACAACTGGCAAGTGACAGCCAGATCTGTAGGAAGCATAAAGGATGTTCAGGAATTCAGAAGAATTATAGAGGAGATGGACAGGCGGCAAGAAAAAAGATACTTAATTGACTGTGAAGTAGACAGAATCAACACCATTTTGGAACAGGTATATGCTTTTCAGAAATTGTGATCTCTCTGACAGATGTCATTAATGTTTCCAGAAGTGTCTATTTCTAGAAATTAATTAAATATCCATTGAGATGTGAGTCCCAACAACTGGCTGGTACCTAGTAAAATTAAAATGCCTCAGTGATGCTCATAGTTGGTGGCAGCACTTACATGTAACCTACCAGGAAATGTCTCTGTGATATTTTTTCCCAAATGTTAATAATGAATTATTTTTAACTAGGTTAAGAACCTAAAACGTCAGCTGCCAGAGTAATGTTATTGGCATCAGGGCTACTTGTAGGGATTGCAAGACAGGTGCAGTTTGTTAAGTGGAACATGAAACAGGAAATAAAAAGCCAGTGAAGTAGTTTTGAATCATCTTAAAGAATTCCCACATGGAAATATTGCTAATGAAAAATTCAGCTGGTAGTCCAAACAGCTCATTAGCACTTTTTGGTATATGAAGCCCTTCCCTCTGCACACCCAGTGCTGTTGACAGGCTTAGATTGTGGGTGGTAGAGTCTAAACACCGTGATTGGGGAAGATGCACTTTTGGGTGACTGTTTTGCTATTGCATGGCCTTCCCCGTGTTTGCTTTGCCCGAGAGGAATGGCCATACCCTCTGGCCATCCCACGGTGCTACCCAGAATGCGTGTGCTGCTGGGTGTGCTGTGCAATGTGCTTGAAGAGGTGTAGTAACAGATACACATCGCAGGGAGCAGAAGCAGAACAGTTCCCTGCTGCCTGGGCTCACAGCAAAGCTGGTATTGGTATGGAACCAAATCCACGCTGCTTGTTTATTCGTAGGCATGTGGGAATTCACTTACATTAAGACTGAAAAACCCTCTGATTATTGCCACTTCATAAATTTAACTGTGGGTTTATAGTATGGAATAGTAACACAAAAGTAACGTTCAAATTTCATGAAGTATTAGCATATCTCTTAGAAATGTTGTATTGTAAACTATTGGCAAACTGACCTCACTGTCGTAAACCCTGGGAAATGCAAAAGCTATATTCACTGAGTTCCTTCTGAAAATGTTCAGTTGCTGTCAAGCCTTGAGGTGTATCACGAGGGCCAGTCTGCGGGGTCTGAATCACTGTAGTCATGGCCAGTCTCATCGCTGCTGGTTACAGGGGGCAACAGGAAGGAAAGAGGAGCTCAAGAGAACATAGCACAAGCCGATGCTGGTCTGTAACTCTGACAGCTGGTATGGTTGTGATACTAATACACAGCATTGCATTTTACACTGTATTTTTAATCAATATGGTGAATGCTCTCTTTAGGGAAATTCATACAGCAACGTGTAAGAAACTTTTTTTCCCCCTTCCATTTGCTCCTGTTCTTGCCAAAGATGCGAAACACCATACCCACAGCCCACTCCTCTTAAAACGGTGCAGGATAGCACTCTTGAGCCAAGCTTGAATAGCTCTTTGGGCCCACTCTCAGCTGGGGAACAGGCCTTTTGCTTGATCTTTCTGACTCCATTTACATTTTGTTCTCTCTTTTTCTTATATTGCACAAGTGAGAGAAAAAAAATAATCGAACTATTCAAGTGCCTAAAATGAAAGCTATATACCAAGCAAGCCATATAGCAAAAAAAGGGCAAACTCTTTCCGTCTACAAGCATTCTAAAGTCAAACCTAGTGAAGTTGTAATTTTATTAAATGTTTGATCAGCTTTCTATCAATGTGATTAGCATCTGTTTAACTAAAGATTTGCTACTGGGGCCTCCAGGTTTCCCCAAACTCTACAGTACACTGTACGGTACTCACACTTTTGCATAATTAGAGCCTTTCTGTTGTTATTATTGTATTGTATGTAGCCCATCTCTGTACTGTGAAATGACTCTCTCTCTGTATGATGCCCGCTGGCCATCCTTTGAACTTTATTTACACAAAATTGTGACATTTCCATGAAATCTTTATCCTACATTATCTCAACTGTTTCTAAAAGATCTTAAAATTGTCTTGCAGTTGGATTTTAGGACCGTATCAGCCAGTTTTAGCCAAACAGTTGAATACTATCGGTCCATTGTTTTGCAACCAAATTCTGCAGACATTTTCACACATAAATACTATGTCATATATGTCGCCCTGTTGATGTACTATGACTATTTCTACTTAATTTCATTGAAGATACCCATGAGCAAAATTATTTGAAATTGCAGCATCAAAAATGGATTTAGAACTTTTTGTTTAGGAAACCAAGCTAGATAGTAAAGCAAACTAAACATAACATAGTCCAGTTAGTTATGCAGCACTTTTTTATGAGTATTGTCCCATTTATTTTACTAGGACCATTCACTTGACAAAGAATTGCCCAAGCAGATCCCAGGCTGATGCCTCTGATGCTAAAAATGTCTTCTGGCAACAATTTCCAGAGGGTTTTTTTTTCTGATACTGAAAAGCAATGACTTAAGTTTCTGCAGGGAGAGTCAGTAATGGTGGACCCCACGTTGATAAGCCTGAAGGCAGCATGCCAGTGTTCGAGGGACGGTGTGCTAGCGAGGTCCCTCAGTCTGCTGTCTCAGTGGAGGTAGGGGATGGAGATCCATGCAGCAGCAAAGACACAAGGGTTATTGATGTGTTAGAAACCACGGCGCCTGAGAATGGTCATATAGGAATTAGGGCTTCCTCCCTCAGAAGGTGGCAGGATCAGTAGCCCAACTGAAGTACCTCTACACCAATGCACGCAGCACGGGCAACAAACAGGAGGAGCTGGAAGCCACCGTGCAGCAGGAAAACTATGATATAGTTGCCATCACAGAAACATGGTGGGATGACTCGCACAACTGCAGTGCTGCAATGGATGGCTATAAACTCTTCAGAAGGGATAGGCAAGGAAGGAGAGGCGGTGAGGTAGCCCTGTACCTAAGGGAGTGTTTTGATTGTATAGAGCTTAACAAGGGTGACGATAGGGTTGAGTGTTTATGGGTGAAAATCAGGGGGAAGGCCAACAAGGCAGATGTCATGGTGGGAGTCTGTTATAGACCACCCAACCAGGATGAAGAGGCAGATGAAATATTCTGTAAGCAGCTGGGAGAAGTCTCATGCTTGCTAGCCCTTGCTCTTGTGGGGGACTCCAGCTTACCAGATGTCTGCTGGCAATACAATACAGCAGAGAGGAAACAGCCCAGGAGGTTCCTGAAGTGTGTGGAAGATAACTGCCTGACACAGCTGGTGAGGGAGCCAACTGGGGAAGGTGCCCCACTGGACCTGTTGTTTGTGACCAGAGAAGAATATGTGGGTGATGTGATGGTTGGAGGCCATCTTGGGCATAGCAATTGGGAAATGGTAGAGTTTTCAATTCTTGGAGAAGTAAGGAGGAGGGTCAGCAGAACTGCTACCTTGGGCTTACAGAGGGCAGACTTTGGCCTGTTTAGGAGCCTGGTTGCCAGAGTCCCCTGGGAGGCAGTCCTGAAAGGCAAAGGAGTCAAGGAAGGCTGGACATTCTTCAAGAAGGAAATCTTAAAGGTGCAGGAGCAGGCTGTCCCCATGTGCCAAAAGACGAGCAGGCGGGGAAGAAGGCTGGCCTGGCTGAACAGAGAGCTGGCAGGCACTCAGGAAAAAAAGGAGAGTTGATGACCTTTGGAAGAAGGGGCAGGCAACTCAGGAGGACTACAAGGACGTCGTGAAGTTCTGCAGGGAGAAAATGAGAAGGGCCAAAGCCCAACTAGAACTTAATCTGGCTACTGCTGTAAAAGGCAATTAAAAATATTTCTATAAATACATTAGCAACAAAAGGAAGACTAAGGAGAATCTCCATCCTTTATTGGATGCGAGGGGAAACATAGTGACAAAGGATGAGGAAAAGGCTGACGTACTTAATGCCTTCTTTGCCTCAGTCTTTAATAGTCAGACCGGTTGTTCTCGGAGTACCCAGCCCCCTGAGCTGGAAGACAGGGACGTGGAGCAGGATGAAGCCCCCATAATCCAAGGGGAAATGGTTAGCGACCTGCTACACCACTTAGACACACACAAGTGTATGGGGCCAGGTGGGATCCACCCAAGGGTACTGAGGGAACTGGCAGAGGTGTTCACCAAGCCACTTCCCATCATCTATCGGCAGTCCTGGCCAACCGGGGAGGTCCCACTTGACTGGAGGTTAGAAAATGTGATGCCCATCTATAAGAAGGGCGGGAAGGAGGATCTGGGGAACTACAGTCCTGTCAGCCTGACCTTGGTGTCAGGGAAGGTTGTGGAGCCATCTTGAGTGCCATCACGTGGCATGTACAGGACAACCAGGGGATCAGGCCCAGTCAGCATGGGTTTACGAAAGGCAGGTCCTGCTTGACTAACCTGATCTCCTCTATGACAAGGTGATCCGCTTAGTGGATGAGGGAAAGGCTGTGCATGTTTTCTACCTGGACTTTAGTAAAGCCTTTGACACTGTTTTCCACAGCATTTTCCTGGAGAAACTGGCTGCTCATGGCTTGGATGGGCGTAGTCTTTGCTTGGTAAAAAACTGGCCGGATGGCCGGGCCCAAAGAGTGGTGGTGAATGGAGTTAAATCCAGCTGGCAGCTGGTCACAAGTGGTGTTCCCCAGGGCTCAGTACTGGGGCCAGTTCTGTTCAATATCTTTATCAAGGATCTGGACGACGGGATCAAGTGCACCCTCAGTGAGTTTGCAGATGACACCAAGTTGGGTGGGAGTGTTGATCTGCTGGAGGGTAGGAAGGCCCTGCAGAGGGACCTGGACAGGCTGGATCGATGGGCCAAGGCCAAGTGTATGAGGTTCAACAAGGCTCAGTGCTGGGTCCTGCACTTGGGTCACAACAACTCCATACAACGCTACAGGCTGGGGAAAGAGGGGCTGGGGGGGGGCCCGGGGGGGAAAGGGCCGGGGGGGGGGGGGGGGAGCGGGGGGCGG